GTACATCAAGACAACCAAAACCATTTACCAACAGCCATTATAACTATCTTGTTAAATCATGCATTTTAAAGAGAATAAACTCAAGACAGCATAGTATTACTAGAATAGGCTATTAAAGTAGTGACATCATGTACCTATTATATTCAGCATAACCACTACAGCACAATTATTCCCTTTATAAATCACTGACCATTATTGTTATCATTGCATCATGCATAAGACTATCAAATCATATAAACTACAGAAAATTGGAGAGGAATCTCCCATACTCACCCATTAGCGGGAAAACACAGCTGTTCTGATGTAAACAAAGGCGTGTTGAGTGTTGCCATCTATGGTTAGGTTTATTTATTTTTATTTTATTTTATTTCATTATTTATTTTTGTTTTGATTAATTTTTAAAAATCAATTTTACTCTCCAAACACTTGAACTTTTTAGGTAGGGACCCCTTTGCACTTGCACCATGTGCGCAGTCTTGGATGAGCCCCTGAACCTCTTGGACCGCGGGGCCCCCAAATGCGCGGGGCCCTAGGCAAATGCCTAGTTTGCCTATGCGTAATCCGGCCCTGGGTCTGTATACGTGGGAATGTGTAGGTGTGAATGTGTGTGTGGAACTACATGAGTGTGGGTTTATTGGGTGAAAAGTAGTGGGTAGGACTGTGTGTTATGGTGTATGAATGTGTATGTGGAGTTTGCATGTGACACATAGTCTACAGTGCTCCACCTGACCTGACCCACACCCACTTGACCTGACCCACACCTGCCTACTAGCTTATGTCCTCTATGCTTCACCTGTCTGCTCGCCCTGTTCTACTATAAATTACCAATTGCTATTCGCTATTGAGTACTTGATATACTATTCTTTCTCATACTAGGAGAGTTGGACCATTCACAAACAGCTTGGCAGTTAATTGGAACTCGCACCCGACTCCCCAAAAACCAGGCATAGGTGAGATACTTGCGATGTAGCCTGTAGACTGTCCAACTAGAGAGTAACTGCTTCTTTAACACAGTTAAGGTACGAACAGATGTCCTTAAAGGGGCCAGGCCGAGGTTTGGCAGATGGTAACTTGATACCACCACCAGCTTTGAAACGCTGCACCCAGTTCCACACTGAACACACACACACTAACATTCTCCACTGTTTCTTTCGTCTGGTGCTCAGCTTTTGAGAAGCCCTATGATTTGAGCTTTAGTTTCAGGTGTTATAGACTTCCTTTTACCCATATAATCAAACACGTATAGCCCCAAAACCAAAGGGAACACTGGACAAAAGATGGGGCAGATGAGAGACAATGCAACACTTCATCTCACCACAGCAGCCACGTGAGCAATGAGAAGTCACTGTGAAGTGTGGCTGCGGGCCGTGACATCGTGCTAATGGCTGCTACCCAGCAGAATGCACAACAAAAAGAGACCCCCTGTATGGTAGGCCTTTGATTTTCATCATGGTATTATGCTGGAGCTCTTACCTGGCATAATGCCATGATGAGCACTGTATATATATATAATGCCATGCCAAATAGGTAAAACTTGCAATTTTGGCTTAAATAGCAACATTTGCCGAGTAAGGCAAGCAAAAATTTGTGTATGCAATAATTTTGCAAAAAACATTCTGAACCTAAAGATAAAAATATATTTCATTGTGTTTGTTTATTATTAAATTATTGTAAACTGATCTAAAATATGTATAGTTGGATAAGGTTAAATTAAATTGCACTTGTTATAATAAGGTTAGTTAAGTTTTCTAAGGTTCTTATGGTACAAAATTATTAATTTTTACATTAACATAAATGAAAAAAATTATATATTTAAGCGTATAAGAGAAAATTTTAGAAAGGGCTTAATTTTAAATGAGTTCTTGCTAATTGACCAGTTTTACCCATTCGGCACGACATTATATATATATATATATATAGTGGACCCCCGGTTAACGATATTTTTTCACTCCAGAAGTATGTTCAGGTGCCAGTACTGACCGAATTTGTTCCCGTAAGAAATATTGTGAAGTAGATTAGTCCATTTCAGACCCCCAAACATACATGTACAAACGCACTTACATAAATACACTTACATAATTGGTCGCATTCGGAGGTAATCGTTATGCGGGGGTCCACTGTATATCCTTACGGCCTAAATGTATGTACAGTATATGATTTTCTTTTTAGACTTTATAATACACACTGAGAGTGGGGAAATATCCTTGGAAATATTCATGATGGTTTACAGAAGTGGCTACTGGGATTCAACCGCAAGTGAGAGGTTATGACATAAACTCGGTGTATGTTAATATTTTGCAAAATCTTTTCTCATCATTGATCATTGGATACAGGAAATAAAAGAGACTATTCAGTCTGTCCATCCTTTTATGTTTTACCATTCTTTTGTCATCCTGTCATAGATCTATAAGATAAAGCAGTATTTACCTGCCTATAACAATGCTGGTGTCTTATTCCAAATACTCTATTAGTCTCTCTTCTTACCACTGTATGATGTGCATTTTATAGATGTTTGTCTCTGGTTTACAGCATCCTGTCTCTCATCGATTTTAATAAGTGTTTCACTTGTCTTTTAACCAGAGTTTCTGGCTCTTTCATATCAAGCGTTTTATTTTGTATCGTAAATGGTTTACTTAGGGCTTCTGCTGCGTCCCTCAGAACTCAGTGATTTTCCGTCCGGTCCCATAGCCATTGCTGGGGTCGAATTCTGGATCATATTTTATATGTAAGCACTGACCATACAGTGGTGGGTAAATGTAACGTCTGACTATGAATTAAAATACTAATTAAAAATATCACGAAATCGATCAATGCACAAAATTGGATACAGTATTCATATATTTATTCTACATTTTATTGACAGATTCCCCGTTACCGAGTACAATAGCTTTGAGGCTGCTCTCTCTATCTCCTAGTTAATGGTCAGTGTGCTCAAATATCAGTACAGCAACAAACTTGCCATGTGGGTAGGTGTGTAAGTACTCTATATTGTTTTGAGCAGCAATAGATGGCATTAGTGACATGTGTCCAGCAACTTGCCAATGCTAAGTCGTAATAGGTCAACATATATACGTTTACAATGTGAAGTTATGAAATAAGTACATAAATGTGTAGTGCACAGCACAGTGACGTGTACATGGATGTGTTGTGCTGTGCTACAATGTTATGTGCGTTTATTGTGCAGCTGTATTACTAGTGTCACTGAGTAAAAGATACATTAGTATTTAGAATTACACAAGCATAGTACGTACATGTAGTTCAAATTACATCAAACACTTGAGTTAACACTGACTACACTTAGCATAAACATGGGTGTGTAGTTGCTGCTGCTGCTGCTGCGGTGTAAGAGTACAAGGGTGGGACTTACACTTGTGTGATGTTACACTTACATGGTGTGTAGCTGGCACCGCTGCTGTCTTCATGTGTAAGTGCTCAAGTTGTTGTACATGATAGACACTAAAAACAGTGATTGGAAACTTTATTCAGATAACATTTCGGCCTGCACACGGGCTTTTTAAGTCAAATAGACCATACCTGGTGGGAGCATAATATGAAGGTAGGACATAGAATCAGTTGCAGTGAAGAATAGTACATAAGAACGAAGGAACACTGCAGAAGGCCTACTGGCCCATACAAGGCAGGTCGTACTGCTCCGGGCTAGGGTCATTTGTAGTTCTTTGCTGGGTACTGATGGTAATATAGTTGGTATGTTGAGTGGTAATACTGGTAGTAGCAGTACTTGACTGAGTACTAAGTAGTTCTCGACCAAAGTCCTGATTCCGTGTGATTGTACATAATACCATGATGAGAGGAGCGTCATAGCATTTCTTCTGGCATTTATCCCCATCATACATCGCAAGTTACCTGCTGGAACACATACCTTGAACAATGAGTGTGTCCACCACATAAATACCCACTAGCATTTAATGGTCTGAATCTAAGCGTGATGAAATAAGGGGGATAAATGCAGATGGAAACATAATGAAACTGTTCTAATAATGATAATCACAAAGAACTAAGGCAGCTTCCAGCTGGGAAAACCTTTGACAGTGTGGTAACCTCTATATATATATATATATATATATATATATATAAAATATATATAATATATAATATATATATATATATATATATATATATTATATATATATATATATATTACCACCGAAAGCTACCCATACTCAATCAGTTATTACCACTGTCAATATGATAATGGTATGCAATACCGATAACTTAATAACTAAGACACATGTGCAAGTTAGGTATCTTTTATTTTGAAATGTGTTGGTATAAAGATACCTAACTGTTGCACATGTGTCTTAACTACTACTGCCAATAATATTACTACTCAAAATACATAAAACAATAACTACAAGTAACCTGCCTAGCGTGTGCCAGTAGGCACTCTGCAGTGCTCATGTGTTATGTTCTCATATAGCTACTACTATTTTATACAGTACCTAATTATGATATATGTCCTTCCTACATATACACTGTATTACCATACATAAAGGGAATTACCAACAGACACCTGGCTGTCTTAAAGAGGGAACTTGATGAGCTTCTCAAATCAATTCCTGATCAGCCGGGCTGTGGTGCATATGTTGGACTGCATACATCTAGCACCAACAGCAGAGTTGATCAGGCCATCAACCAGAAGATATGGTCTAGGACCTGGCAGCGGGGGCGTTGACCCCAAAACCGTCTTCAGGTAGAACCAGGTATGATCTATTTGATGTGAAATAAGCCTGAAGTATAGGCGTAACGTTTTCGAAATAATGTTTTAATTACTGTTTTCAGTGTGTTTATCATATATAACTGGTCGGTATTGCTATACCATCTACTGTTGCTGAAGCTGTGTTGGTGATGGTTCTGCGCCTCTACCCATAATTTGCACCACTACAATGGTGTTTGTGGTGATTCTTGTTAGCAAGTACATTATCTTGACCATATTTGTGTACATAAAAACCATTTGGTCGCATATAAAAATTTGATGTTATTTAGTTCTAACATGTGTAAATAGAAGTTATACTGCATCAATATTTGCTAATCTTAGTGCATGATTGTAACAAGTTCTTCGTGTGTTAAAATAATGTGTTTTAGTGTGTATAGTGTTGTTGAGAGTGTGTGTGTGGGAGTGTTGGAGAAAGGTGCTAACAGTTGTGTGTTGCAGGCTTGTTGCTGTGTGAGGGTTGGCTGGCCACGGGTCTATGGGGAGGGAGAGGTCGTGGTGCAGGTCGTCCTGGTGACGCTGCTGGTGACGGAGGTGCTGCCGTCACACACTCCTGCCCGAAGTGTGGCCGTACATACACTTTGCGGTCTAACCTCTCCCGTCACATGCGGCTGGAGTGCGGTGTGGAGCGGCGCTACAGGTGCGCTTACTGTCACAAGAGATTCAGTCATGCTCATCATTTGCGTTCACATGAGAGGTCCATACACGCCCACGCCATTGTTACTACTGCAGCAGCCACGCCTACTGCCACTGCCACGCCAGCACAGTCCTCGTGACCCATGGTGGTGATCCACGCCTGCAACAACCTCTAAAAACCTCAAGGTAAGGCAACCAATGGCCCTCATATTAAGTTAGGTAAGGTTTGCCAGGAAACAGGACAAGTGTTTCCTGACGCGAATCTTAGTTATATGATGACCCAGAGCTGGAGCTTTCGGTTATCTGACCGAGGCTTTTCGCTGGCTTACCGGTTTATCCCTTTAAAAATTATGGTTATAATTATTTGGCCGTCACATTCTTGTTGTTGCCTTTTAACTGATACATCAGCTTGTGCCGTATGAGTTCTGATCCCAGAAATCTGCGGAGCAGGCTAGGTTAGGTTAGGCTAGGTTAGGTTGTTAGGCTAGGTTACGTTAGGCTAGGTTAGGTTACGTTAGTCTAGGTTACGTTAGGCTAGGTTACGTTAGTCTAGGTTACGTTAGGCTAGGTTACGTTAGGCTAGGTTACGTTAGGTTACGTTAGGCTAGGTTACGTTAGGTTACGTTAGGCTAGCTGTATAGCCTTTATGGCTTAACGCTTCTTTTTTATTATAATAATAATAATACGTTAGGTTGGGTTAGGCTAGGTTACATTAGGTTGGGTTAGGCTAGGTTACGTTAGGCTAGGTTACATTAGGTTATGCTAGGTTAGGTTAGGCTAGGTTAGGTTACGTTAGGTTAGGCTAGGTTACGATAGGCTAGGTTACGATAGGCTAGGTTACGTTAGGTTAGGCTAGGTTACGTTAGGTTAGGCTAGGTTATGTTTGGCTAGGTTAGGTTACGTTTGGCTAGGTTAGGTTATGTTAGGGTAGGTTACGTTAGGGTAGGTTACGTTAGGTTAGGCTAGGTTACGTTAGGCTAGGCTAGGTTAGGTTAGGCTAGGTTAGGTTAGGCTAGGTTAGGTTAGGTTAGGTTAGGCTAGGTTACATTAGGCTAGGTTACATTAGGTTATCCTAGGTTACGTTAGGTTAGGCTAGGTTAGGTTAGGTTACATTAGGTTAGGTTAGGTTACATTAGGTTAGGTTAGGCTAGGTTACGTTAGGCTAGGTTACGTTAGGTTAGGCTATGTTATGTTAGGTTAGGTTACGTTACGTTAGGTTAGGTTACATTAGGTTAGGCTAGGTTACGTTAGGTTAGGTTAGGCTAGGTTATGATAGGCTACGTTACGTTACGTTACATTAAATTAGGATAGGTTAAGCTGTTGCCACCTACCTGCCAGTCTTCAGCTTAATTCCACGGGCACAAAGTAACAAGGAGACAAAATATGACACCAGGTATATAAACCAGCAGTGTGGAACTACAATATATATATATAGTACTCCCCTTCCTGTTGTGTCTCTGATATGGGTTTTGTACCATATATTCTGATATTCGAGATACAAAGTTATACACACGAAGGGTGTACTTAACAGAGTGGCCACTGAGTGTATGTGAACCAATAACAATACTAGTCAGTCACTTGATGATACTTGATATTGTGATGCCGATCAAGAGAGGCTTTTTAATCAATCTCATGAAAATCAATTTCTGGAATGGCATTCTGAAGTACATGGACATTGAAAGACTTTGATATTAGAACTACAATTGGCATGTGAAAACTTTTTATAATGGTGTACAAACTCTCCCAAAATAATAAGGTTTTAGTGCTTGATGTAAAGATTGGTAGCGATGCAAATAACACTTAATAGTACGCTCCAATTTCAGAAAAAAGATGGAAAGGGGGATTACTTTTGGTACCGGGCAAGAGAGAAATGGACAATGAAGTGGATTAACTAGCAGAGGGCAATTTATAACACTCAATCTTCTGTCACTCTGCATTTGTCCAGTTGAAACAATCCCACAGGCTTTTCTCCCTAGGGATGTTATTGGTGTAGTTGTCATTACATAGAGGCATCCCCTGCCCAGGCTATTGTAACATCTTAAAACAATGCCTGGCCCCGTGTTTGAATAATATTAATATATACAGTGGACCCCCGCATAACGATCACCTCCAAATGCGACCAATTATGTAAGTGTATTTATGTAAGTGCGTTTGTACGTGTATGTTTGGGGGTCTGAAATGGGCTAATCTACTTCACAATATTCCTTATGGGAAAAAATTCGGTCAGTACTGGCACCTGAACATACTTCTGGATTGAAAAAATATCGTTAACCGGGGGTCCACTCTATAGTTAATTTATTCGAAGGATCAGTAACTGTGGCAGAGGCACAAGATGTAGGGTATTGTGGAACTCCACTTAAATAATTGTGCCAAAATTGCATTTAGCTGAATGTATCATTATGTACATAACAGTAAATGAACATAGATAATTATTATTTATCAGTTAGACAAGTAGGAATTTGGGACACCTAGGTCGCAAAAAATGTCCCCCTTCGATACCTACCACTGTCATATCCACAAGTTGCTCTGGACCTATTAATTATAAATGAAAGATACATCACCAGGAATACTGGTAAATATATAAATTTGTGGACTGTATATTAAAATTAAAAAAGGATTATATATACACACATTTACATAACAGAAAGAGAATATCTTAATAACACTCACCAATTTGACTGGAGATTAATGTGTCATGTACAGGACCCCCCCTTTTGCCTAAATTTATGAAAAATTTACTGGCCAGAATTTAAACATAAATTAGACAGCTTATCTGAGGATCCTGGAGTTATCCTGTCCTGTCGCCTGATATCTCAAGTTATGCAGGAATGCACATCCAACAATTTAGGCTCCTATTTGAGAGGTGTCAGCCCAAATTTAACCTCTAGAGCACGAAAATTTCTTCCCATTACTAATGTTACTCAATTCAAAAACAAAAATGGCAACTGTCCTTCTGCGCAGGCGCAGCTTCCCGTTTTCGATAACATAAATTTTATTAAATACAGTATGGACATCTATTTACATATAACTACTGTATTTCTGGAAAATATATACAGTATTTTCCACAATAATCAAGGAGCTCTGGAGGGCACCGGAGATTGTGGAGAGCCGTCCACACAGTCGGCCTAGAAGGGCATGGCTGCCGACCATCTGTGGCTAATTCATCACAGAATGGAAACCCAATAATTAATTGTAATATATCTTAGTATTACAGAGCCTCTGGCAAGACAGTGATGGAGGGAGTGACGGTGAAAGTGTTTAGTCTTTTTTTTGGGGGTCGCTCTGCCCCAGTGGGAAACGTCTGGTTTATTGAAAAAAAAAATTAGAGCCATACGCTGGTGAAAGATAACAGCACCTCCCGTCCTTCCACTGGTCTGTGATATTTTTTGTTAGCAAGTCATGTATGTGTTCCAGAGCACTGAGTTTAAAAATGTACTGAAGATGTTGTTGTGCATGATTATTTTCTTGAGGCAAGTGAACACAGTGATATCAGAAGCTGTCAGAATAGCAGGAAATGCTGTTGTTACCTAACATGGTACAGTTACGGTAATACAAACGTTGTTTTGAGTATCTGTGATTAAAAATCCATTTTTATTCACTTGTTCCATGACTTAGTTCCAGCACTTCTCTATAACCAGTCTTATCATGACACTAATTTCATGTATTCCGTCAGCAACCCTAAGTATGCCTAATTTTTCCCTCATATTCAGTATTTTGGTGGTTATAGGGCATATTTTTATTTTAGTCTTTCAACATTTTTCCTGTTTTTCAGGTAATCTATTAGTGATCTTACGTAAACTCAGTACATCATTTTGGCAACTCTAATATTGTCACCTTACTTAAGATTGTTCCAATCATAATCATTTAATGAAATAGTTCGATGCTGAACTGGTTATCAAGGAAGGTGATAAATACAGGGGACGTGTCTAGAATTCCCCCTGATCACCACCTCTGCACTGAATACCTGGAGTATATCTGGAGGGTGCTTCGGGGTCAACGCCCCCGCAGCCCGGTCCATGACCAGGCCACGTGGTGGATCAGGGTTTGATCAACCTGGCTGTTACTGCTGGCCGCACGTAAACTGACGTACGAACCACAGCCCGGCTGGTCAGGTACTGACTTTAGGTGCCTGTCCAGCGCTTTCTTCAAGACAGCCAGGGGTCTATTGGTAATCCCCCTTATGTATGCTGGGAGACAGTTGAATAGTCTTGGGCTCCTGACACTTACTGTGTTGTTCTTAGCTTTCTCGTGGCACCCCTGCTTTTCACTAGGGGAATGTTGCATCTCCTGCCGAGTCTTTTGCTTTCATAGGGAGTTATTTTCATATGCAGATTTGAGACTAGTCGCTCTAGGATTTTCCAAGTGTATATTATCATGTATCTTTCTTGCCTGCATTCCAGGGAGTACAAATCAAGGGACTTCAATAGTTCCTAGTAAATTAGGTGCTTTATCGTACTTATATGTGCAGTGAAAGTTCTCTATACATTCTCCAGGACTGCAGTTTCGCTTGCTTTGAAAGGGGCCATTTGTGTACAATAATATTCCAGCTTAGAGAGAACAAGCGATTTTAAGAGAATCATCATGGACATGGCATCTCTAGTTTGAATGTTCTCATTATCCATGCTATCATTTTCCTGGCAGATGTGGTAGATACATTATTGTTATCTTTGAAAGTGATGTTCTCTGACATTATGACTTCCAGGTCCTTCACATTAGTTTTTCACTCTATTGTGTGGTTGGAATTTGTTTTATACTCCGATACAATTTTAATTTCCTCGAGTTTTCCATAGCGGAGTAATCGAAATTTGTCATCAATGAACTTCATATAGTTTTCTGCGGCCCATTTAAAGATTTGGTCGATGTCCGCTTGGAGATTTGCAGTGTCTTTGACGGATGACGCTGTCATGCAAATTCGAGTGTTATCCGCAAAGGAGGACACGGTGCTGTGGCATACATCTCTGTCTTTCTCATCTTCATATCTATGAGGATGAGAAACGGGATGGGAGCGAGTACTGTGTCTCTGTTTACTATTACTCTTTGTGTTCTGTTTGTTACGAAACTATAAATCCATCTACCCACTTTTCCTGCTATTCCTTTATCGTGCATTTTGTGCTGTTATACAATGATCGTACTTGTCGAAGGCTTTCCAAAGTCTGTGTATACAACATCTGCATTTGTTTTTCCTCCAGAGCATCCAAGACAATGTCATAGTGGTCCAGTAGTTGGGATAGGCAGGAGAGACCTGCTCTAAACCCATGATGCCCTGGGTTGTGTATATCATAGGTTTCTAAATGGTTGGCGATCTTGCTTTTTTAGAACTCTTTTAAAAGTTTTTATGACGTAGGACGTTAGTGCTATTCTTCTGTAATTCTTTGCAATTGCTTTACTGACATCTTTGTAGAGTGGGGCTATGTCTGTTATTTTTAGTGACTGTGGAATAACCCCGTGTCCATGCTCCCTCTCCAAAGAATGCTTAAGGCACATGATAGGGGTTTCTTGCAGTTCTTGATGAACGCGGAGTTACACGAGTCTGGGCCTGGGGCAGAGTGCATGGCCATGTCATTGCTTTTCCAAAGTCTCGTGGTGTTAAGATAATATCAGAATTTTTTTAATTAACCAAATTTCAAGTCTCGGTCATGAAAAATTTATTTAGATTGAAGGAGATAAATGCAGGGGACATGTCTAGAATTTTCCCTGATCACCCATGACACGGCAGCTTTTAATTAACTTAAGTCACTGTCAAACAACTTACTCCACCAAAATTAGAATTTGTTCTACATGTATATATAAATGCATTGTTTTTCTGTTCTCTGTTATCTTGATCCCTTCAAGGAAGGTTCCTTGATGTTGGTGAGGGGCTCTTGATTTAGGGAATTGGATCTGTGCTCCAGTTCCCCAAATTAAGCCTGAATGCCTTCCACATCCCCCTCCCCAGGCACTGTATAATCCTCCGGGTTTAACGCTTCCCCCTCGATTACAATAATAATAATAATAATCATAATAATAATAATAATAATAATAATAAGATAAATTAGACACATGTGCAACTCTTGGGTATCTTTATTGAGGAAACGTTTCGCCACACAGTGGCTTCATCAGTCCATACAAAGGAGAATCTTGAAGAACAGGAGGAGAATGAGGTAATCAGTCCCTCAACCTTGAGTCGATGTGGTCAGTCCATCAATCTTGAATAGATGGACTGACCACATCGACTCAAGGTTGAGGGACTGATTACCTCATTCTCCTCCTGTTCTTCAAGATTCTCCTTTGTATGGACTGATGAAGCCACTGTGTGGTGAAACGTTTCCTCAATGAAGATACCCAAGAGTTGCACATGTGTCTAATTTATCAACATGTCGGTTCTCTGAACCATTCATCTACGAACCATTCATCTACAAATAATAATAATCTGTTAACTTGATACAGCTCCTGCGTCAGCAATATATCGTTATTTAATAAAAGTTCTGTCTTATGTCCACCATGTTGGTACTTTGTAACTTTACTCTCGCAAAACATGTGAGTTAGATAGGTGAGCACTGTGAGTTAGGTGAGCACTGTGAGTTAGGTGAGCACTGTGAGTTAGGTGAGCACTGTGAGTTAGGTGAGCACTGTGAATTAGGTGAGCACTGAGTTAGATAGGTGAGCACTGTGAGTTAAATAGGTGAGCACTGTGAGTTAGGTGAGCACTGTGAGTTAGGTGAGCACTATGAGTTAGGTGAGCACTATGAGTTAGGTGAGCACTATGAGTTAAATAGGTGAGCACTGTGAGTTAGATATGGATTCAAGTCATTAAATAATTAAGACACTTATGCAACATATGGGAATCTTTACTGAAGAAATGTTTCGCCACACAGTGACTTCATCAGTCTAATACGAAGTAGGAAGGTATAAGGAGAGGAGGAGTTTGAGGTAATCAGTCCCTCAGCCTGGAATCGATGTGTTCAGTCCTTCACTCTTGTAGAAATTACAGCATATGGCGGTAGAAGTGGCTTATATACTGTAGTCAGGTGAGTGGAAGCAGGAGGAGGCGGGATCATAGTGGAACCATCCACTAGTGTAAGTAGGTCTTTGTCCAAAGGTTGGACAAGTGTTGAAGAATTCTTTGTATCAAGATCCCAACACTTGTCCAACCTTTGGACGAAGACCTACTTACACTAGTGGATGGTCCCACTGTGATCCCGCCTCCTCCTGCTTCCACTCACCTGACTACAGTATATATGCCACCTCTCTGGCCCTATGCTGTACTTCCTACAAGAGTGATGGACTGAACACATCGATTCCAGGCCGAGGGACTGATTACCTCAAACTCCTCTCCGTATACCTTCCTGTTTTGTATTGGACTGATGAAGCCACTGTGTGGCGAAACATTTCTTCAATAAAGATTCCCATACGTTGCGTAAGTGTCTCAATTCTTCAACTTGTCGGTTTTCAAAACCATCACAAGTCATTAAATATATGATAATCCAATCATCAGTGTGAAAAATGTTATTCACATTTTCCTTCATCTTATTTATATGTGTATTGCAGTGAGAGATGCAGCAGTGAGGAACAAGGACAGTGTCTGAGTTGTGACTTGTCACCATCATCACTGCAACCAGTGACAACGTATGGCACGAGTGGCCGGGGCTTCTTACTTCAACCACCACCATCACCACAGCTAACTGCAATGTGTGGTGCGTTTGGTTTCGACCGACAACCACCACCATCACCACAGCTAACTGCAATGTGTGGTGCGTTTGGTATCGACTGACAACCGCCACCATCACCTCAGCTAACTGTAATGTGTGGTGCGTTGGTATCGACTGACAACCGCCACCATCACCACAGCTAACTGCAATGTGTGGTGCGTTTGGTATCAACTGACAACCACCACCATCACCACAGCTAACTGCAATGTGTGGTGCATTTGGTATCGACTAACAACCACCACCATCACCACAGCTAATTGCAGTGTGTGGTGCGTTTGGAATCGACTGACAACCGCCACCATCACCACAGCTAACTGCAATGTGTGGTGCGTTTGGTATCGACTGACAACCGCCACCATCATCAATGTCTTTACTATACCCGAAAGGGGTATCAGAATTTTATCTTAGGGCACTTTTGTCACGATTGTTTTTGAAAAGGGTTTAAAACCTAGCCGGGGTAAGCCAGTGGATGCCCATCAACTGAATGAGTCCATCATCTGATTAAGTCCTTCAGATGTATACCACCAACACCATCAGCACCAACTACATTCAACCCTGATTTATACTATCACCAGCAAGGATAACAAGTTTCTCATACGCTTCCTGGTGGGGAAACTTTTGACACACATGACGGGAGTTCGATGAGTACCTCAAGTTTGTTCCTGACTAGCTGAACTGTGTGCTAGCTGGCAGCAGTAGCCTGATTGATCAGTCCAACAACCATGAGGTCTGCTGTGAGACCAGGCTGCAGAGGATGATGACCCGAGGAATCAGTAAGTAGGCAGATACCAGTAGCAACCTGCCTCGCCAGTCAGCTCCCTAGAGCAAATCTATATTCCCCTAAAAAAAATTACTGTCACATCTTGAATTATCTTATTAGTAAGGTAGCGCTAAACCCATAGGGGTCAACTGGGTCTCGCTCAGGAACGAGAAATGATGAAGGTTGATCAAGTTAAGCGAAGGGGAACTTCAACTATTTCTAAGAAGAGCCATACTGGGTAGACTTCGGCTCCTTCGGGATGGCTATAGCATGTAGAGACCAAAGTGAATACTGTCCACTGCTTTTGTCATATACAGCTAACCGTAAATATTCTTTCCCCTTGCCTGGAAATTGAGCAGACCAATTGAACTACTGTCTGTATATCGAAACACGCTTCTTTAGTTGGAGGATAGAGGTCAGACAACCCACTGGTACAGCATCACTCCCGTATTGGTGGGGCGATATATTCAGCGAGGGCAAAGCGAGCATCACTGAGTGGACACCACTGTGATCCTGTGGCTGCCATTTAGCTCACTGTTGGTCACTAGCGTACATCTCTCTACGAACTCTGGGGTCATGTGCTTTATTCGATGGTTAAGCCTCCCCTTGTTGGGTCCAGTGGTGGGGGGGGGACAGGGAGCTGAAGATAATAAAGTTGTATGGATAATTCTCTTCATACACACAGTACTGATGACCCCTTGTAGCCCACAGACTTCTCGAAACCCATCAAAGGTGAAGGTACAGACACGAGATAATAGCAGTGTGAACTATACGAGTTACAAATATAAACACGTCTCCAATGTAACAAAGTTACCAATATAGTTTCCAATGTAAACAAGTTACCACTATAAATATTACAGCATGTATTAATAACAAATTAGTTAAGGTACACATAGATACAGTTACAGGGCCAGGAGCTATGAATCGACCCCTACAACCACAAACAGGTGAGTACAAAATATCATATATAGTAACGTGTGTAAATTATTGTTTACAGCGAGAGCAATGTAAAAAAAAAAAAAGGTACATACCAGCATAAATAAAATACTAGTTTACAGTGTAAGCAATGTTATCGTTGTAAGTGTTATAGGTAACCAATGTAAACTCGGCTTTTACAACAGTGGTAACTAACACTTAACTATTGTTATAAAAAAGGTCGACAGTCAGTGTAAAAAAGTATGAGCTACGAATGTAAACGGAAACATTAAAATGTAAACACAATAATTGTAAATGTAAACAAAATAACTATCGGTAGAACCATAACATCAATCATTGTAACCAGTAACCAGTGGTGACAGCTGCATTGTAAACATATCTACCTGTGTAAACAATACATATATGCAATATATGTTAACATGGGACTGATCAATGTTAAAAAGACAGTTATCAATGTTAACATGACAGTTATTAATGTTAACACGACAGTTATCAATGTTAACATGACAGTTATTAATGTTAACACGACAGTTATCAATGTTAACACGACAGTTATCAATATTAACATGACAGTTATCAGTGTTAACATGACAGTTATCAATGTTAGCATAACAGTTATCAACATTAACATGACAGTTATCATTTGTTATATGACAGTTATCAATATTAACATGACAGTTATCAATGTTAACACGGCAGTTATCAATATTAACATGACAGTTATCAGTGTTAACATGACTGTTATCAATGTTAACATGACAGTTACTAATGTTAAAATAACTAAAAATGTTAGCACAAAAGCTACCAAGTTAACACAGCTATCAGTGTTAATGCTAAAGGTACTAATGCTAATACAACAGATGTCAGTGTTAACACTACAGCTACCAGTGTTAACACTACAACTACCAGTGTTAACACTACAGCTACAAGTGTTGACACTACAGCTACCAATGTTAACAGCTACCAGTGTTAACACTACAGCTACCAGTGTTAACACTACAAGGCTTAACACTACAACTACCAGTGTTAACACTACAGCTACCAGTGTTAACACTACAAGGCTTAACACTACAACTACCAGTGTTAACACTACAGCTACCAGTGTTAACACTACAGCTACCAGTGTTAATACTACAGCTACCAATGTTAACAGCTACCAGTGTTAACACTACAGCTATCAGTATTACCACTGCAGCTAACAGTGTTAACACTACAGCTACCAGTGTTAACACTACAGCTACCAGTGTTAACACTACACCTATCAGTATTAACACTACAACTACCAGTGTTAACACTAAACCTATCAGTATTAACACTACAACTACCAGTGTTAACACTACACCTATCAGTATTAACACTACAACTACCAGTGTTAACACTACAACTACCAGTGTTAACACTACAACTACCAGTGTTAACACTACAGCTACCAGTGTTAACTCTACAGCTACCAGTGTTAACACTACAACTACCAGTGTTAACACTACAGCTAGTAGTGTTAACACTATAGCTACCAGTGTTAACACTACAGCTACCAGTGTTAACACTACAGCTAGTAGTGTTAATACTACAACTACCAGTGTTAACACTACAGCTATCAGTATTAACACTACAACTACCAGTGTTAACACTATAACTACCAGTGTTAACATTACAGATAGTAGTGTTAGCACTACAGCTACCAGTATTAACACTACAACTACCAGTGTTAACCTCTTCAAGGGGGGCTCCTTGGCGTGGTGAAGAGGCTCTTGGTCTGAGGAATTAGACCTGTCGGTCTTCTTCCTCAGACCGAACCTAATTACCCCCCAATCTCCCCTCCCCTATCCCATCCTCTCCTTTTTCCTTTCCTCCTCCTCCTCCCCACCCCTCCCTTTTGCCCTTCCTCTTTTTGGTCTTTGGGATTTCTCCCACAGGCGCGCTAGTTCCTAGGTAGGGGAAAGGATACCGGGGTCCATCCCATTCCGTTGAGGTTCTTGGCGGTGGCGTCATTTGCCGTGGAATCTGGATCGCCTGGGGATGTCCCGATCCCTCTCCGGTATCCCGGAGTAGCTTTGGGTGTCTTTCGGGCGACGGGTGTATCTCTGGAAGCCACCTTTCAGATTCCGGGGGTGGTGGCCGAAGGAGGTATGCTTTGTGGCGGATATCCGGCCGCCCTCTCTTTTGTCCACCGAGGTAGCTCGGCAGATGTGAGGTTGCTATCCCGGATTGTTAGTTTACTAGCATGATGGGTAGGATATGGCACGGGTTCCATGCTGCATCTGCGCTACTTGCAGTGCTGAGGTCCTCTTGGGCGCGGAGGGAGATTTCTGCCCTTTCATTCCTCCTAGGAACTATCCCTCCCGGTCCCTCCCTTTTTTTATTCTTTTTTTATTTTTATTTTCTTTCTTCTTTTTTTTTTTCTTAAAAACAAAAAGAAAAGAAGTAACCTAACCATGGCAGCCCTAGTCCATGAACCTACTACCCCCGGGCCCCTTCTTGATACCGCACCCCGTTCTGACCCCGCCTCATCTTTGGACCACTCTTCAGACACTCCTCATGCTCTGTACCTCTTGCCGGTGCTGTTTTCTCACCCGCTTCAGGTACTGAGGCCTCGACTGACTCCTTCAATTTATCGGACCTTCGCTCTCCTCTGACTATGCTTCCGGCCTCTCCCTTTACGGTGCGGCAATTTTCAAATCGCCGACCCATTCCCACGTCGACCAACTCTGGTCCCACGCCTAAACGCCAACGACAATTACCTGCTGATGATACTTTCTCCACCTTCTCGTTCTTCTCAGAAACAATTGACACGTCCTTCACTACCTTTCCATGCTCAGTTTCAGACTGAACAATGGACTAAATTCTTCACTTTACGACCGACTTCCTCTACTGCCTATCTTTCTGACCACAGTATTGGCAAGGCACTCCTACGCCATGTTGGTAAAGATATTTCTTTCATGCTCTTAAGAGCGGTACGCGCATCATCACCGTACAGAATGCTACCCAGGCTCATGAGCTCTCTCGTCTTTCCCATATCGATACTGTTCCCGTCACTCTTGAAAAACATCATTCCCTCAATTCTTGTAGTGGCACCGTCATTCTGCCCCTACCATAGTTCAACAAAATTTTCAGACATGTGGCACTGACATTCTTGAACAGCTGGAACTCCAAGATCTCCCCAATCCTCAAGGTAGACACTTACGTTCTTCCTGCCCTGCGGGCGGAGACGATACCCTAGCAATGTGGCTCGTTTAACTTTTGACAGCCGAGAACTCCCATCCTCAGTTTATATAGCAGGACATCGTTACAAGTTCGAAAGGTGATCCCTACACCACAACAGTGTAGAAATTGCTGGCGATTTGGCCATCCAGCGAAATATTGCAGATCTATCGCCGAATGCCCAGTCTGTGGTGCCGATGACCATTCTAATACGTCTTGCAATCGATCTCCCTCTTGCCTTAACTGTCATGAGGCTCACCCTTCGTACTCTCGCCATTGTCAAGTCTATTTAAATGAGCGGGAAATCCGTTACCTCAAAGAGACAGAAGGTCTCCCTTATGCCATGGCAGTTTCTCATCTCCGCCTTCAAGGGAGACTCCCACGTGTTTCTTATTCCCATGTTTCAAAACGTCCCCCCACTTCTGGTATCCCATCCTCTACACCCACCTCTGTGGTTACCTCTCCCATAGTCACTCCTGTATCTAATCCTTTTGCTGTCCTTGGCTCAGACGTCCCTACTTCAACGTCTCAGTCTGATCTCGCTTCTTCGTGTTCTCTCTCACAAGCCTCAGTATCGATGAGACCTCGTACGACACCTCCTCCCAATCATCCCTCTACTTCTCAAAAGTCAAAAAAAGGTCCGTTAACACCTCCTACCCATCTTCCACCTCCTCATTTTACCCTCCCTGTCTCTGTCCCTGGTTCTCCCCCTCTCACTGGCTCAGTTACAAGTGTAGAGGTTCACCCTCCTCCTCGTACTGTATCTTCCTCCCCTGTTCCCTCCCAAGTTTCTTCCTCTTCTGCCATCTCCCAGATTTCTGCCTCTTCTGTCCCCTGCCACTCTTCTCCAGTTCCCTCCACCCTTTCGCGTCCCCCCTACCTTGGTACAGTCCAATACAGTTCCAATCTTTACTCATCCTTCCCCTACCATTTCCAATATTGTCTCCCATACGACGTCTCTGAATTCCAAAACACTTGAAGCGATCTCTGAATATGTTGCAGAGACCAAACCATCAATGGACACTGATCCACCTTCCGCTCTTTCTCTCTCCTCTGCTCCATCTGCGCAACTCCTTTCTTCACAGCGCACCATTCCTTCACTGCTTGAACGTTTTCCACTGCCTCCGCATGTGGACTTTTCTAACCCCTCTAGTCCATAGGAACCCTTACCTGCGGATTTCAAGTATCTTTATCATTGCCAATCATGGCCTATTTACAGTGGAATATACGCGGCCTCAGGGGTAATCGGGGTGAGCTTTAGATGCTACTCTCCCAGTTTGCCCCTGTTGGTGTTTGCTTACAGGAACCAAAATTACACTCTGCTGTTATTTCTCCCATCTCAAGCTATAATTTATTGTATTCTTCAGATCCTTTTCCTGATGGGACCTTTAATGAAAGTGCCCTTCTTCTACGCACTGATATTCCGTACCATCAGCTATTTGTTCATACTTCGCTGCATTACACAGCAGCCCGTATCCACTTACATAGGTGGTATACGCTCTGTTCTTTATATCTCTCCCCTTCTCGGGCATTATCTATTCCAGATATTGCCTTTCTTGTTTCGTCATTACCGCCACCGATTCTGTTACTTGGTGATTTTAATGCCCACCATTTCCTCTGGGGGGGGGGTCTCACTGTGATTCCCATGGAATTCAGTTAGAGGCTTTTCTTACCACCCACCCCCTCCATGTTTTAAATACAGGTACTGACACCCATTTTGATCCTCGGACTCATACTCTCTCTTGCATCGATATCTCAGTCTGCTCTTCCTCCGCTGCATTAGACTTCACTTGGTCTGTTCTCCCAGACTTACATGACAGCGATCATTTCCCAATCATTCTTACTTCCCCTTCATATTCGCCACCTCTTCGCACCCCACGCTGGCAATTTGATCGGGCAAATTGAAACCTTTACTCACACCTAACTGTTT